ATTTAACTCCATGTTTTTAAAACTATCATCTCAAAATATTATCAACTGTGTGTTCCTAACATATTCTGTCACTGTTTCCACAACAAAACATTCCTTATAATTGTTTCTAATAGCCCTCCTGGACCTGGAATTGAGAAGATATTTCGGTCTAACGCGCTTCGTACAGATGTAAACAACAGGTGCTTGAGGACAGGACCCCCCCTTTCGATATAGACCCCTAGGCTTTTTCGAATTTTTTCTCATAAAATATATTTCATTGCCATATTTGTGATAAGATCTATACCAGCAAATCGAAAAATTACCTAAAACAAACGTTCTATTAAATATACTCTACATTCTCTATATAAAAATCATAAAGAGAGGGTAGATATTTTTATAAAATGTAACTTTAAACAAATTTTCTAAATTGATAGGATAGATTATATCACATTGTATTGTTTGGGGGGGGGGGTGTTCCTGTCCTCCAGCACCTGTGATGTAAACCATGCCGTTAATTGATAAAGGAGTAAGGACTTTATTGAAATCTAGCCGTTTTTGCAATTGAGGTAAGAATTTGGAAGAATTAATTTAGAACCAAGCGCATTTTTTATGCGCAATAAAAATACAGGTGGCACTGTAGCCGTCCGGTCTATCATTATATATTTTTTCGGAGAGCTACAGTTCTGCAGCTAGCAAACAACTTACTGAAGGCTCAAATTTTATATGTTCAAGTCTCAAAATTTATATAAAAATTATACTGAGTCCATTTGAATTTAAATACTTGTAATTTCCCTTGTAAGGAACATGATATATTCATATGATTGTTGAAAAATTGCAAGTATAAGCCAATACAATTTATTATGCTTTTTTTTTAAATTTCTAAACAATTGGCAAAATGCTAATCCTCATATTAGGGGTAATTTCTGACAATTTAGTTTTATTTAATTTTTAATTTTAATATTTTTCACTCTTAATTATTATTTCAAAGAAAATTTTTACATGTTTCAATATCTAACAACAATTATTTATAATTTAAAGTACTATATTTGACTTTGTAACCCACTTGAGTTTGAGCAATTTTTTCGAAAATTGGCAATTTGTAAATCCCCATATCTCAATTATTTATTATTTCCCAAGCTCAATATTTGGCAAAGATAATGTTTAGAGTTATATTTGTGCAATAAAATCAAAAAAATTAATTTCAAAGATTGGTCTTGGAAAATTTTGGGCATTAAATTTGTAAAACTTTTGGCAATTCTTGAAAATTGGCATCATGCCAATTTTCAAGAGTTGTCTGCCCTTTGATATATTGCATATTTGATTATGATAAATGTCAATTTTGAAAGAACATAGTCTTATGTTATTCAAAATACCTTAATGGAAATGCAAGTTTAATTTTGAGTAAAATAAATCAAATGTGAATTTTACCATTTTCTTGAATTTTTTAAGTGCATTTGCACTTTAATGTGCAAAAAGGAGGTGGTGCTGCCTACGGCTGCCATGTTGAATGATGGGATTTTTTTTGGTCATTTTTTAATAACATATTATAAAGTCTAACTACCCACCAAATTTCATTAAGATATGACAACCTTCGATTTGGACAGTTCTGCATGGTTTTCTCGCGGACTGACTCTTAACAGAAGTGAAGGAGAAACTTCAACAGTACTGTGCAACAATGTATTCAAGAAGTTGTGTAAATCAGATTTGGATACTTAAAAGTTCCAAGGAACTTTTGGACAATTTGATTTCAAAAGATTTCACCAAAATCAACAGCTTTAAAACTTACGACTTTTCAACTTTATACACAATCATTCCCCATGATAAATTAAAGTTGGGGCTTTTTGATATCATTGACAACTGTTTTTTCAATAAAACCGGAACTCATAAATCAACTTATCTTGTTATTGGTCATTTGCAAAAATATTTTGTTAAAACATTCTGATTGTACTCACAAGAACTCTGAAGTTGACATAAAAAAGATGCTTGATTTTTCTGATTGACAATATCTATTTGTTTTTGGAGACCAGATATTCCAACAATCTATTGGAATTCCAGTGGGTACCAATTGCGCCCCGTTATAAGCAGACCTATTTTTATATTAATATAAAGCAGAATTTGTGCAAAATCTTATGCGTGAAAAGAAGCAAACACTTGCATGGCCTTCAGTCGATGTTAAAGATATATCGAAGACGTATTACCAATTATCAATGGTAATTTCCATTCTTATATTCTGGTGAGCTTGAGATAAAAGATACCACAGAGTCTGACACATCCGTTTCATATTTGAATATCTTACTTGAAAAAGACGTTAATGGTAATCTAACAACCAAGCTGTATGATAAACGTGATGACTTCAACTATTCTTTCGTCAACTTTCCTTACTTATGCAGCAATATACCTTCATCACCTGCATACGTAGTTTATATATCTCAGATGAATCGATACACAAGAGCATGGTCTACGTATGGACAATTCTTAATCGAGGTAAATTATTGACAAACAAGTTGATGAAACAAGAATAGCAGCAGTCTCATTTAAATTCATCATTTCGTAAATTCTATGGTCGATACAATGACCTTGTCAGCAAACACAATTTATTATTGCTGACTGACTTTTTTCATACTAATTATTAGTCAATATTTATACCCTGCTTTGACGAAGGATTTCTACGTTATTTTCTACGTTATTTCCCGATCATGACAAGGAGCACACCGCGGGAGTGACCGGTCAGCAATGGATGCTCACTCCTCCATGGCACTTGATCCCACCTCCGATGGTTTGGAGGTCTGTGTTTGCTCTGCATCTTTTTTTGTATTGTTTTTTTGGACTTTTGATCTTGAATAATTTCCGTTATCTCCATATTTTCTTACATATGTTACCTTTTAAAATCACTGAAAGAAATACCTTGTTTATTTAACTAGTATGTCTAGTAAAGCGTTCGTCGTGATAAGTAATCACTCTATTTACTGCCTAGTTAAGATAGCGAGCAGAAACGTATTTATTAATGTTACTCAGACACGTGTTTGTGTTTGTTTATTCTTGTCATCTATTGGCTGTTAGGATGGTCATCTAGTCAGGTGACATAAATATTCATAGCACGGGCTATTAGTGACCATGAAAGAAATTTTGTATAGGGAAAGCCATTAGAACAGTTAGAAGGCTCTATTTCGTGCAGTCGTATAAGTCCCACCCACCCGCCCATTGCTTAGTTTTAAATATTATATTAACTTTATACTTTGTTGAAAATATTTATATTCTATTTTGTAGAATTCGGACATTGATGAGGACATTAGAAAAAGAGATATAATGTGTATTGTGTTTAATAATAAAACTGCACTTTTAGAGTGCTTCATATCCTATTTCACGAGTTTGTGTTTATTTCATAAATGTTTTATGTTCGTTTAAGTGAAACGAATAAGAACATAAGATGTCCCGTGTAGCGGGGTCGTATAAATACAAATGTACGTAGTCAAAGTTACTTACCCTGATAATTCCATACATGTTTATGCTACTGCGATAAAATTTTTTTTTTAAAATTAAGATTTTGGAATGTTCAACTTCTAGTAGTACAAACTGTAATTGTTTATTTCGTGTAATTTGTTACTTGTGAATGAAGCATGGAGATAACGATCAGTATTTAAGCTCCATTCAAACAATACAAAATCGGAGCAGAGCAAACAAGGACCTTCAAAAACACCAGTGATACGTGGAATGAGTATCCCCTGTCGACCGGCCACACCCGCCTTAAGCGCCTTGTCATGGTCGGAGAAAAAAACCCCGGAAAATCCATAGACAATTCAGTTTGTGTAAATAATGACATAACAATAAGTATGACAAACGTCATTCAGCCTTCGGCTTAATGATAGGATAAAGAGGATAGGTTGAACTTATTTAATATTTTGTAGATAAGAAATCTCTCTTCACCTTGAACATATTTTTAGGAGGATTTTTATAAATTAACAATTGATTTCTTCGTTATTTTTGTAAGTTGTTATTTAAGGTGAAAATAAGTATTTTGTAGCATTACACAACATTGATGTTGTTCTTTTATAAGCGGTACAGCGTATTATTATTAAACTCTTTTTGTGTGTTGTGTTTAGTGTGCATCTTTTCTTTGCAACTGCGCTTGGTGCGATTTTATTGCGTTTCACATGATCGAATTCTTACTGGTTTAATATGAATTCCTTTTACATATGTTAAGCACTTTAACTGTTTATATTGTTGATATTTAACTATTCAATAATTCATTCATTTTGAAATCCCAGACAGAAAATGGATGATTAAAGCTGGTGATTATATGGTTTTTATTCATGAATATATAACATCCAAGGTACACCTCTGCCAAAACGTCCAGCCATATTATCTAAAATCATTGCAAAGGTCGTAGGCTATTTAAGGGAGAAATAGTTCAACTCTACATTAAATCTAATAACTATATATCATTCACAAAATTGTTAACTTAAGGTTATTGAGGTATCACAGTGTTTGCTACAGAAAATCAAGAGTTTTTAATAAATAAAAGTATTTATATCATGAATTTCAGATTGCTATATTATATCATTAAAAAAATATTCTATATGCAATTTTAGTATATTAACAGGAAATACTATTGTATATTCCCATTTCATAACAAAAAATAATACACACATACCGTATTTAATTCAATATTTATAAATGCTCCTTAAACTTTAAAACTATTGTATAATAAAGAATCAAAGTATTAACTATACTTTACTAAATCAAAGTCAGAGATGTCACATGTGTCACCTGTTTAATCAACTGACGAATTAAATGAGATTTAACATGTGCCCATTCTCATACAAGAAAAGAAAGCATGACACAACACTAAACCAGAAACACGCAAAACACGTGCATTGCAGGGAGTGTTACCAAAGAATGGAAGGACTCCCGTGCATCTACTTAACAAATAAACTTGGTTTATGTTTAGCCTTCCTACACCCAGAATAATGACCAAAAAGATCTGTCACTAAGGTGCCATGTAAAGGTCTCGGGGCTGATGTTTATAATCACCTGTTTTACATACAAATGTTTAGCCTTTGTATAAAAGGAATTCATGAATTTGTCAATTTATGTCAATTCACGTTAAAATAAATGTTAACATAAACATTACATTTCGTTTCTTGGATATAATGAAACGTAATAAGATGCTATTAGCCTGTTCTGTAAAGCTTACAGATTTCTATTAATTCCGTATTTCTTTTTTTTTATCTTTTATCGTGTGTGCTTCAAAAATTTTGTAACCCCAAAAATACATATTATTTTGGCTCCTTTAAAACTCACCATAACACCTGTTATTGAAGTCTTACACAATGATAAATTCAAGAAAAAAAAGCACAGCATTACATTTTAGAGTTGATGAATAGTCCATTAACCTTAAATAAATTATATATACAAATACATTACCGAATGACAAAACAATAAATGCAATCAAAAATTGATATAAAGTCTTAATCCTTGTTATGTTGTATCACCACTCAATCTGGATCTAAATCTCATATTATGCGCTCTGTGGTCCCTAAATAAAACAAGACCACGTCAAAAACATGTAATTCAAAAGAATTATTTAATCCATTCATTTCATAATGAAATGCTATTACTTAATTTTAGAAAACAATAATGTTTCAATTAAAATAATAAAAAATGCAACTATATCATATATAGAATACAATGTATTGACCTAAATTTCACTTCATATTTGGATGAAACATATGGAGATAACGAACAGTATAAGGTGCCATGGAGGAGTGAGCATCCCCTGACGACCGGTCCCACCCATCGTGCGTAAAATGTTAATGAAATTTAAAACATTAATGATCACATGATTAATCATTACTTACTTGATGACCTCAACTTTGTCAATGGCCCACTGATCGTAACCTTTGTTACGATGGACTGGTTGCCACCACCTGAACTGTACCCCTTCCTGTTTAGCGTCATCTGGTATATCGTAGGCTGCTCTTTTAGGCAATAAATATTCTTCAGCATCATGACGAGATAATAACTTCCATTCCGCTCCCTGAAAGAAGTAATCTAGGCGTTTTATAATCAAAGTATTGAGTGCGATTAGTTAATTATACAACAATAATTAAAACATGAATGAATTATGAAAATTTGCTGTAGATAAATAGTTGATTATAATATTCCGTTTCTAGAGAAGAGCTTAACAAATTGCAGTCGTATTTTGTATCAATATAGCATCCAACATATTTTTCTTTTAACCAATTGTACTCTCTTTTTACTTCAAAGAGATCCTTGTCATCTTTTTCAAAATAGAAACAAGATTCTATTAAGTTTTTATCTCTTTACATGAGCTGATGATAAGTTATACCCTATTAAGAGTGTATTGTAGTAAAACTCCACTGTATGAGCCATTTCTTCCAGACTGAATGTTACAACTTGCTGTCTGAGCAGGACATCCGATTTGTAGAACAAACATGATTTTTCTGCAGATGCAAACAAAAATATTAGAAACATAAACGTAAGGCTATTTCACAAGACAATTACATATCTCTTTTCATATATGGTAAATAGCGCAGCTGAGATACCGGTATCATTAATTTTCAGAATCGTAACTGTTTTACATATTTCCGAGAAATTAGAAATTAAATTCATTTACATTTATAATTAAACGTAAATTCAAATATTCATGCTTTCACCAAACATCTTTTTACCTAGCTTTTCTCAGATCCATCTCTACAGTTTTTGCCTCTCGTTGACCACATCCGTTAAAGTACAATGTTTTGCCATGAGCAAATGGACGTAGGGCTCCACAGCCGAAACCTATTCCACCTCCGGTGATGGATTCCCAATAAAATGAGAAAATACCTCCCTCAAAGGAGTCATACAACGTGCTTATCAAACTATCTGGGCGAGGAAGACAAGATTTTCCTAAAATAAATAAAATATTTCCTGTAATACTTTCTACGTACACTGTATATTGTCAAACATTCAAACAATTTTAACTGCATACTTGCATTTCGCTAATTTTACTGTTAAAAGTATTTTGTGTGATGTAATGTAAAGATTGATGAACAAACAATGAATGAATGCAAAATCTATTTATTAAAGATTAGTTTCATCAAACTTACCAAAGTATCCCCTTTCACAGAAGCATTTTCCATTAACACAAATTCCCCTGGAATGACATAAATCTGGGCATTTCTCTCCTACATAGATATCGTCAAGTGCCCAAGATGTTCCGACTTTAGATATGGCATCCTGGATCCATCGGAAGCGAGTTGAACTTTAAAAAAAACAAGGACGAGAATACACTCACAATTTTTTTTCATTTTGAAAGAAGTATGTTCGTCAGGATATTCTAGAAAAGAGATATACCTGGAAAATGTTTTCTCAGTCAGTGGAATGGTCACAAGAGTCCACGAATGATACGCATCATGAGTATAGACGGACGCCGAGTGATAGTGCCTGGGTTCACACTCTGACAGTAGAGCATGATCTGGGAGACAGAGTGGACGCACCAGATCCCACTGGTCACTTCGTGGATCCTTATTGTATTCCAAACGTAAGGGAGCATAATCTTCACAGGAATCGTAAATGTCATCACATCCCACTGAAATCTGTAAAAAAAAGTTTATAAAAGACACCTTTAGTTAATTTGAAGAGATATTAAAGGATACAAAATGTACAAATGCCTGGCATAGACTAACTTATTTTTCGACCTATTTCAGTAGAACTGAGATTGCCCCGATTGATTGTTTCATCAACATCTATCCTTTTTATTCATTACTAAAGAGTTATTACAAATCTTTTACCTTGAATTGGAGCATGAAACTCTCCTGAACAATGAGTTGACTGGTTGTGAAACTTCTATTTCCTTTGCCCTCCTCCCACACGATAGAACTGTCACCTTTTGTACACATGTTGTCTTTAATTTCTCCAAACGAATTAAATTCCCAAGGGGCATCACTTTGGATAGCCTCATCAAAAGAAACCTGCATAAGGCTAGGATTGATTTCTTTTCCGCCTGTGCAAAATGACCTCATTTGTAAAAAATATCCAGAAGGACTTAATAAACACATCGAGTAATGAATTTCATTAGAATTAACAATTTCTTTTCTAATGAATAAATGCACAAATACAGTATATTTTACATCGATTCTTCATTGCCTATATGGTAGGATTTGCTCAAATTTTAGCATATGTTCAACATTATTTTCTTCAATTGCAAAAAATAATAGTTTTACATTTTGTATATCTACAATGAATGTGAATACCTTCCAATTCTTTCGCGGTCCAAAAATATATAATTCTATATAATTCAAATGTTTTGAAACCCACAGTTAAGATTATTATTTCGAAACATTTTGTTGAGATATGTAAATCTGAATATTTTTTCAAATTCCTTTTGTTAAATGCCAAGTTGGCAACCTGTCGGCAATATTTCGGCGGGAGGAAATGGGTGATAGTCTCTACAAACCTATAAGGATGTTGTCAATAGCCCATTGTGGTCCTGAGGTATGATAAATTTGGGTAACGGGTGTCAAAAAGTCAATGCAAATTTTATTGTATAAAAGAAGAACCATACAGGAAAACGGAATCACTGAGAAAGCTTTTGTTTTGTTATTGCAAAGTAGTTTTAACTCCAAACAGGTGTTTTTGCAGGTTTATATGTGAACCTACGCTTAGAGAAAGAACCATCAATTGTATTTTTTCAAAATTGAATTCAGAAAAATTCAACAGCTTTATCTCTGAGGAAAGTCCATTAAATATCGACACCCCCTTCCCCCACCCGCTAAGTTCAATTTTTATTTTACATCTGACAATTCTGCTGCAAAAAAGCAAAGATATATTAAAGACATCTTGGAGAAAGATACGTTAACAGTACTTAGCCATCTTTGTATTACCTAGATATTTTTTTTGTCAAATGTAGGAAAGTCTGTCAAATTCTAAGCTTGTTCTGTGTTTCATTGCTTCCGAGCTTGTTTGAGGCTTCTGTGTGATAATACATAGCAAATTTCGACACAAAATGTATTTTTTACAATTCTGTATTTGTGCACTTTTTATTTGTCAAAGTATGTTTGCCAATTTAATGATTGTTTTCGCAATGGAAATCCTTTTGTAAATTTCAGCCTTTGTACCGTAGCAAACTTTGCTGTTATCATCCCTTTGGTCGCCCCTGAACTGTAATTTTCTTATAAAGTTAGTGGAATCCAATAGAAGAGTACGGAAGCACATTTAGGACCTATCAAAAATATTTTTGAATTCGTTATAACAATTTTTAGAATTCGTTATAACGAATTTAATTTGTTAAAACAGATTTATTGAATTCGTTATAACGAATTTAATTTGTTATAACAGATTTATTGAATTCGTTATAATGAATTTAATTTGTTATAACAGATTCATTGAATTCGTTATAACGAATTTAATTTGTTATTACAGATTCATTGAATTCGTTATAACGAATTTAATATGTTGTTACAGATTTTTTGAATTCGTTATAACCAATTCAAGAATTTGATTATAACGAATTCAACAAATCTATAATAACAAATCATATTCGTTATAACGAATTTAATGAATCTGTTATAACAAATTAAATTCGTTATAATGCATTCAATAAATCTGTTATAACATATTAAATTCGTTATAACGAATTCAATAAATCTGTTTTAACAAATTAAATTCGTTATAACGAATTCTAAAAATCTGTTATAACAAATTAAATTCGTTATAACGAATTCTAAAAATCGTTATAACGAATTCAAATATATTTTGTGATACGTCCTAAATGGGCTTCCGTAGAAGAGCATTCTCACTCAATATTCTTGGTCTTTGTATGTTTCAACTTCAACATAAGAGGTAGCCTTTCAGGATCAATTGTATAACATAACATGTACCTAGTTTGTAATCATTCACTTTTAGATTGACTGCTCTATTTGGACTCCTTTCTGAGATTTGATTAAAACAGTTTTCCACATCTAGATATAAACGCCTCGTCGCATGCTGAAACACACGTGTCTAACTGACGCATCAAATTTTGTTTTATATTCTTCAATTAAATATATGCTGTTCAGAAAAGTTTCCTGGTTGAAAAAATATTGTCTCATTTAAACCACTAAGTATAAAATGTATCGAGATATCATGCACACCATGCACACGTTCGTCTACTATTAAAGGGTTTTGTTTAAGGAAGGAAGCTTATTTCAAATTTTGTTATACGATATAACATAACTTGGGGCAGTTTACGCTTTATGAACCGCGAAGCGGTTTATAAAAAAGCGTAAACTGTCCCAAGTTATGTTATATCGTATCACCTAATTTGAAATAAACTTCATTCCTTATAATTTGATTTCAGTGTAGACAATGAGACAATTTTCCCCCGGAAAAAGGCTTCAAATTGAGTATTATATTAAAAGTAACGTCAAGGGGAGTAATACGTTTTTGACGTAACTCATTGTGACGTAGGCAAGTTATGTTATACAAAATATTTTATGTTCCTCTGAATGATTCAGCCAATGAAATTGCTTGAGACAAGTGAAATTAAATTATTTATAAAATAATTCATTTTTTCAAAAAAGTTTGGTCTCCTTCAATTTCTAACTTTGTTCTCGTGCTTTGTAGTGAAAGGTAGTTATGAAATTTATAGAATGATCGAAACGTATGAAGGTATATTGCTGCATAAGCAAAGGAAATTGACAAATGTATTTGGGGTTTGAAAAAGCATACTTTGCTTTAAAACTACAGTTATACTTTTTTTACAATTTGACACATCGTTCACAAACTTTTGTGCTGACAAAACTTAATGTAGGGCCAGCATTTTTTTATTTTTAGGTTTACAAACCCGCCGCTCGAGTTTTTGAATTTTCAGAAAAAAAATAAAATTGAGAAAAACAGAATTTTTTCTTTCCGATGTCAAATTTGAGTCGGGATCGAGATTTCAAATTTACGAACTCGTACTTCCGGTTTCAAAAAATGCATGATGGCGGGTAACGAAGGTAGATTTGTCAAGTCCATAGCAGCACTAAACCTTGGTTTAATGTAAATATTTATCGATAGGAGTGCCATTCAAAACGTCTCACTCATTCAGGGAACAAATAAAGTGCTGACAACTTTGTTGCACAATGACATGTTGGTGAGATAATGTATCCGTATTCAAAAGTATCTGTCATCTGTCTGTAAATTAATTTCCTCCCACAGGTTTAAAACTGCCCATGGTAGCTCTCATTGTTTAAGTGTCTGTTATAGCTTTCAGTCTTAGCATCATTCTTCAGAAAGGGGTTCCTTATGCATCAGATGTAATGAATAAAACTATGGGAGAGATTAAGTCCATTTGAGGAAGAAATAAACAATTATAATTTTGCCTAAAGAAACAAAATATTTCAAATATTTAAAAACAAGTATATCTCATACAAATATATACAGGCAGGTAGTATCTTTTGTGGCAGCCAGAAAAATTATTTTACTCTTAATTGAAAAAAAATTCCATCCTACTCCCCAATACTCCCTTTCTGTTTTAAGAAAGGAATTATTATTTTAGGTCTCAAGTATATTTAGAACAATTTCAACACATTCATCTAATACATATTAAAAAATTATATTTAATATGAAGATATATAAATATATGTGTATATTGAAAGAGTTTAAAAAATCTGTATTTTGTCCAACATCACAAGATTTATCATTTAAATCACTGGCCCCAACTGGTAAACAATTAAGGGTTCTATTTTCCCCTTTGTAACCCTTATGTGTCCAGTGGCAAGGAGCCTGTTAGGAGAGCATTAAAAAAGAAGCAAAAATTAATATAGAAAAAGTCGATAATGTATCCCCAAAAAAATAATTTTATTTTTTTTTTATTTCCTCCTCCTACGGGACTTTTTCATTCTGATGTTCGTAAACCTAAAAATAAAAAAAATGCTGGCCTAAATTTCACTGACGAGGGTTAAAAATGAATAGAATGTGTTAGCAGGTACATTTTTCAATTAACATTGATTCAATATTTATTTTTACTTTTTGTTTTACCTTTTCCCTCATCTGAAAGTATGCCTACCTCGTATAAGCAGAATATTTCGCAAGAATTAAATTTTGGCATAATTAGCGAGGGTGCCGACATCACTAAAATTGAATATTGCTAAAAATTAAGAATTGATTATAATAGATTCCCAACGAAACAAATTTCAAAAGTATACCAATATCATCGATGTTCGTTTAATGTGAAATGCAAAATATGATTTAGAATAACAAATATTGAAATGGTAAAAAATTTCAATTTCATTGAAAACTACAAGACTATCCTGCAATCTACTCAAAGAAAAAGATTTTTTTAAAGAAAGCAGAGTCACTATACTGAAAATTGTTCTGAAATGGTCAAATACATGAAAATATGTAAAAATTGCGCTTCATGCAAAAATATGTTCAAGAGCCAATATATTTTATATACACTATATCTGCTTTGGATATCTAGAAATACAAGCAATTCTTAATTCCAAAAGTGTAGAGGGATTTAAAAAAAGTAATTAAAAAAAAAATTAAAAAAGGAGTGGTACAAGATCGCAGTTCAGCTGGTCGATCAAAAACTGTAGGAACCTCATAAAATGTTGATGTAATGAAAAAAATGATATCTATAAATACCAGGTTTATTACGAAAAACGTTGGTTAGACATTAAATATTTCAACATAACAGCTTATTAAGTTCTGACAAAGGAAAATGAAAACATTTTTAAAATTTATCAAATATATAGGTGCTTCATTTCTTTATTTATATGCCTAAAAGAAATCATGCATGTTCAAATTGTATATTGAATAAAAAAACAATTATTAGAAAAAGAGGTGTTATAAATTTGGGTAACGGGTGCCAAAAAGTCACTGCAAAATTTATTATATAAAATTTTATTGTATAAAAGAAGGTCCGTAAAGTAAAGTGGAATCAGAGAGAAAGCTGTTGTTTTATTATTGCAAAGTAGTTGTAACTCCAAACAGATGTTTTTTGCAGGTTTATTTGCAACTTTTCTCTGAGGAAAGTCCATTAGATACAGATCCCAGAGTTTATTTTTTTTTTTGTTTTACATCTGACAATTCTGCTGCAAAAAAGCAAAGATATATGAAGGACATCTTGGAGAAAGAAACGTTAAGAGTACTTTGCGATCTTTGTATTAGCTAGATATACCGTGCCGGGGTATAATTTTCTTGTCAAATGTAGGAAAGCCTATTAAATTCTAAGTTGTTCTGTGTTTCTTAGCTTCTGAATTGGTTTGAGGCTTCTGCGTGATTATACAAAACAAATTTCGACACAAAATGTAATTTTTGCAATTCTTTATTTGTGCACTTTTTATTAAGTATTTATGCCAAGTTAATGACTGTTTTCACAATTAAAAGCCTTTTGTAAATACCAGCCTTTGTACCGTATTAAAAAATTGCTGTTATCATCCCGTTGGTCTCCCTTGAACTATAATTTTGTTATAAAGTTAATGTTATCCAATAAACAAGCATTCTCACTCAACATTCTTTGTCTCTGTATGTTTCAACTTCAACTTAAGAAGTAGCTTGCAAGATCAATTATTTTACATAACATGTATCTGGTTGGTAATCTTTGAACAAAACAATTTTTTTTATTGTTTCACACATTCACTTTTAGATTGATTGCTCTTTTTGGACTCCTTTCTGAGATTTGATTAAAACAGTTTTTATATTAATATAAAAACGCCTCGTCGCATTCCGAAACACACGTGTCCAACTGACGCACCAGGTTTTGTTATATATTCTCAATTAAATATCTGTCTGTAAGGAAGTTAATGCTGTTAAGACAACTTTCCTGGTAAAAAAAGATAAAATCATAGAAAAAATCACTTAGTATAAAATGTATAGAGATAGCATACAAACCTTCGTCTACCATTAAAGGGTTTTGTTATTGAAATAATTCATTTTATCAAAAAAGTCTGGTCTCCTTAAATTTCTAACTTTGTTCTCGTACTTCGTAGTGAAAGGTACTTAAGAAATTTATGGAATGATCGAAACGTATGCAGGTATATTGTTGCATAATAAGCAAAGAAAGTAGACAATTTGATTCAGGGGTTTGAAAAGCACACTTTGCTTTAAAAAATACAGATATACATCATTTTACTATTAATTTGACACATCTTTCACAAACTTTTGTGCTTACAAAACTTAATGTCAGTTTCACTGAGGAGGGTTGAATTAAGTCAATTTCGTAACTTTAGTACACCAACGAAATAAATAAGTTACAATCACAGACCTACAATGATGTGTCGCGAAAGGAAAAACTTCATAACCGTCCTTATCTGCATTGACAAGTCCAATTTCTTTGCAGTCAAGCATCATTTTTTTTTTTTTTGTAATTTCAGTGAATTAGTTGAAATGTTCGATTTTTTAAATTATAGTTTTTTCCTAAAGGAAACAGTTATTAAAGATTAAACAATAATAATAAAATTTCGACATTTTGCATCATTCGGTAACCCTAAATTTGAGGGTGTTGCAGTTCTTTTGTTATTTTCCCTAAATGTGTAGCAGATTAAAAGAAGAATTTTTATGTTGCAGAAACTCATATTAATTTTTTTCAAATGCAACAATATATAAAGCACAACGAGAAACAATATTTGGAAGGTGTGTATTGACTTCCATTTTGCCAGTAAATGATGTGAAAATTAGTCTTCTTGTGACGGCAAAATATATCAGATTTTCCGTTTTTTAGATAGGGAATCCCCATTGTTCTGAAAAAGTGCCTCCTTGAAACAAAATAATTTTGATATATACACAAAGAAGCAGGAATTTTCTTCAAAACTGCCATTTCCGATTTTTGTTTCAAAGAGGCACATTTTTGAAAAACGCAAAAATTGAATAAAAATTATTCTCCAAACGAAATGCAAAATGTGAACTTTAAATAACACTGTAAAAACATCGTGTCCGAAATGGTCCAGTGGATATGCTGGTGGGCTTCCAACTAGTACTTTTACCAGAGAATGGGTTCGAATCTTGGTATGGATCATTTTTGCATTTTTTTCTATATTTAATGGTAGTGCGATGAAATTACATATATTTTGAAAGAGAGGTGGGAGGTGGATGTCAAGAATTAATTGAGTAATAACTAATCTATATATTAAAAATGCAGGATTAAATTGTTTTCCTTGATATGCTTTGACTTAAAACTAATGCTTTATTTGTTTTGTCTTGGAAAATAAAGTTACTGTATTGTTTAAATAATATATTTTTTATTTTTTTTTTTTTGGCAAACTGTAGTTATTGCAATTTTGGTCTCTTAGCTAATAGCCAAGATTTTATATGAAACAAATAAAATGTCTTGGACGTAAAACCAACAGTGTGATTATGGGACGCAGTTTTATTTCATGAAAAAAATATTTTCGCATGATGTCTACAGTATATATTTCAAAATTCTGCTTTAGCCATTGTGCTTTTTGTTGTTCCAACCTTTTTCGTGCAAAATGACGAAAGTGTTTTGCTGTATCAAGCAGGAAATACCCGCCGTAAACATAGTCCTCTAGGTAGCTGTATCTATAATAAGACATAACGAGGGTATTTAAATGTCCTTCTCGATATATAGGGAATAATCGCGAGTTTCTGCAACACCCTCTTTAAGGCGACGGTGCATCTAATTTAAACTTAATTTAAAGAAAATCAAATAATGCCGCGTTAACTTCTGTATCTTCGCTAGCCAAGAGTAGAGGAGCCGATCGTCACTCTTTGCTAGCGAAGATGCAACTTTCGACGACATTGAAAATTAGAAATACTAGAACAAGAATTTTCATGATGAACCCTATAATTCTCTCTTGTGACAAACGTAATTTTGAACTTTGATCGTCCTCTCAGTGATATTTATAATCCAGTAGTCACGAAAAGCACGGACTCAACTAATAAAATATCAAAAAAGCACATTTTGTTACGTATACTCTATAAAAATTTGGTCCTTAAGGGATGCCATGTTATTAGACATGATTTCGTATCCATGTATAAACTTCAACTACGTGAAAACATGCATTAAGTTTTTATTAATATGTATGTTTCATTTTGATGCCTCGATAAGAATTTGGTTTAAGTAAAAAATTAAGTATAGAAATACCCTGGTATCCTCTTTGTATGGAAACTGCAAAGCTTGAACATATATGCCAGTTGCCATTTCCTTTCCGTGCACGTGCTTGGATAAATAGTGAATGATAATCCTTTTTTGTATGTACCAGTTGCTTATTAAATATGCAAATATTAATAGCAAAACAAAGTTCTTTTTTAAATGAATGATTACTTGCATGTTTTTGTATTTTTGTTCGGTTTTTAGATTAGAAATATGTCCAACCTATCTAAATGAAAATCCTGTGGGTAAACTATAGTTCTAGGTACATTCCTGCGCTTTTATTTACCCCAGCTACATTTGCTTTAAGAACCATCATTACACTGCACATTAAAGAGCTCTGATTCTGTGCTTTTTTCCCTACAGTAAGAGTGATCTACCCTTAAATCTAAATTCCTATAAATAGAAATTTACAATAAATTACAAATTTTGTAATCATTTCAAGTATTTTTAACACTTTAGAAGTCCAAGATAAGGAATATGAACACATTATTTTCATACATTTTCTCAATGGATGTAAACAACAATGATTTCTGTTCACTGATGGTCCAAAAACATTTTCACTAGTGTATATAGGGCTCTTATTTAGCCTGGGTTAGTATCAGAAAACATTCTCTATAGTACTAGTACTAGGGCCCCTTTTGCCAAAAAAACCTATAACTAAGACTAAAATGTTCTCCTGGGTAATAATTTACTTTTTGCATTTACTTGGAAATGGTTTTTAAGAAACAATTTGGACAAATATATTTATGCGTGTCATTTTTAACAGAATCATATATACTACGAAAGCCATGAAGGGACACGTCGATTTCTCAAAAAAGTAAAAATTAATTTGAGATCTCGAATTACACAATCCGTTTCCACGGATTATCAATTCGTTCCCTCGATTTATAATTCGAGATCTCGAAATACACAATCCATTCCCATGGATTACTAATTCGTTCCCTCGATTTATAATTTGAGATCTCGAAATACACAATCTGTTCCCACAGACTACCAATTCGTTCTCACAGATTATTAATTCGTTCCTTCAAATTACACAATCTGTTATCTCGGATTAATTCATTCTCTCAATTTATAAAATTCGTTCCCTCGGAATGAAAAATGTCCCACGATTTCATTATTATTTATCTGCATATATCGGATATGACAACACCTGTTTAATGGATAGAAAACGAAGTAGTTTACATCCTACTTTTTATTACAAATTCAGTTAAAAATGAGAAAAAAAACTTTTTCAAATCCATATGCTAGTACAGATATTTGTTCAAATCAAGTCGTAGACTTCTATGTTACATGTATATAAAAATCATTGAAAACCCTAGTAAAAGTTAACATGGGTCCTGTTTAATTGTTTTTTTTTTCTAAAATAAATATACGTGACTAAATTTTTAAAAAAAAGTTTGGAACTACCGGTTGCTGAAACGAATTACAAGGAACGATTAATTGATAATTGATACAAGGGATTGGATTTCCCAGCCTTTATACATGTACTCGGATATATGTATATGTTATGTAGGAATGAAATTCGAGAAAACGGTTTTCCAAAATCATTAAACTGATATGTTGATCAGTGGGATTGGATTGTGTTATTCGAGATCTCAAATTACAAATAGAGATTCGAATTATTTTCTTTGAAAACGAATTATGTAATTCAAAATTCTAATAAATCGTGGGAACGAATTAGTTATTTGTGACGACGAAATATGTACTTCGAGATCACGAATTATAAATCGAGGGAACGAATTGATAATCTGCGGGAACGGATTGTGTAATTCGAGATCTCAAATTAGATTTTACTTTTTTGAGAAATCGACGTGTCCCTTCATGGCTTTCGTACATATATTTTGCAATATTTAAGAATTTATTTCAGTTTTTGGTCCTTGTCATAATTTCCTTTGTATATCGTGTCTTAGAATTGTAAACTTCATGAAATACAAAATAAAATGCAGAATGATAAAAACTCGTTTTAGATATGTTTTCATGAACTTGATTTATTTTCATTTTCAAGTAGTTTATGTTAAATAAAGATATGAACATTTATAGGATTTCTTTCAAACCGATGTCCCATAAGAAACTTTTATTAGCTTTATATTTGTCTAATTAATGATCTGAAGATAATCAGGATAGTCATTATTAAATAAAAAACTAATTACAAAGACATAGAATCTGTCTGATTAACCTCTGTCTATTTGAGAAAGGAGTGCGTATCATTAACGCTACATTTTTAAAATTTTCATTACCGCTACAGTCATTACCGCTACAAAAAAAACGTTACATAACTGCTACAAATAAAAGTATACATTACCGCTACATTGCCTATTTCGTTAGCCACTGAGTTACATGTACTTGTGCGTGTACAGATTGATGTAAAGTACAACATATAGATGCATAAGATCTGTACCTCCTGAAATACATAATTCCACATTCACATGTGACTCCAAAATATGTAGAATGAGATACAACAAATCAAGGGCTAAGTATTATATTCAAATATTTGAAGCAGTGTGTGTTTATACATCGCAGCAATTAAACGTTTTATTTGACACTGCCCATATATTTTACTTCTGTCAACATTGCCAAAAATTCAAAAATTTTAGAATGAGAACTGCAGAACTTTGCGAAAGCTTTGAGACGGAACTTATATTCCGTGCCTGGATACGTGGCAGATTCCATATGTAGCGGTAATGAGTTGTTTTCGACCAAAAAAATGTAGCGGTAATGATCGGTCGAAAATCTTTAAAAATGTAGCGGTAATGAATTAAAATTTTTGGCGATGTAGCGGTAATGTTGACCTCCCCTGAGAGAAAATGACAAGACTGCACTTAAGAACAGGCGATTTGTGTCAAAATAAACTTTCAAAAAATTTAATTTTTTCTTTTAATTGTTGGAATGATCTGCATCTAATCTACAGCTTAATGTAATTAAAATAAATAAAGGTATGTATTTACGAAGTATGAATCTGTTTTTTAAGGCGGGGATCATCAAAATTTCAATCTCCATAAAAAAAATGAGGACGCCCACTTTTATACCGACTTAATACATAGTAAGCGCATAGTTTTAACATTATGAATTTTTTTCTTTGCCAAAAATCAAACATTCTCTTTTCGGTAATAAAATATTTGCTCAAACTTTGATGGAGATATATTTAATTAAGATCTTTAAAAATATATGTAATGACTTACCAGTTTTTTATGAATTTTACCAGTTTTATTTTTAAGGGAAAGGAAAGACTAAAACACTTAAGCAAATTTTCTTTAATTTCTGTTGTTCTCCTTTTAGCAGTAGTTGTATGTTTTTATTCATAAAAAAAAAAACATATCAATTTTCCTGTTCATAATGATGTTTCCATGCGTGGTTTCTTATTTTATACAAATAGTAAGCTGTTTAAAGGGGCTGGGGGGTTGCAGCCATTTTCAGACTATTTCGATCTCCTGTAGAAGAAGAGCTCAATATAAAGATATATAAAAATGATCAAATTTTAAAACTAAAATGTATGAATTTTTTTCTTTGCCAAATGATAGTTGACAGCTTTGAAAAAAATACCGTATCTAAAAAAATATGTTAAATCTGTTGGTTAATTTGCGGTTAATTTGTTGACCTCCAGCCTCCTTAATTATTCTAAAGTACAGCTTCTCTATAGTTTTTGTCTGATTGCACCCAGATTGGCTTTGAATCAATTGACGTCGGTTAAAACTATCACATACCCTTCTCCTACAGTTTTTGACTGATTTCTGTATAATTTGACAACAATCCACATACAGATAACATAATTAAAACATGATTATTTGTATCGGTTTTGGGTTTCTTTCACTTGTTGCCATAGTTACAAAAGATTTGTTAGCAAAATATCACCCTTTCAGGAAACTAATCTGATTTCAAGAAATCAATGTAAACAAGTAAAAACACTTACATCATCCTCTAAAAAAGGTGGGTTCTCATTTTAATTTACACGATGAATTGTAGATGACTTTTAATATTGTTACTGAAAGTATTTATTTTATTTGTTATGCGTTTATTATGCTCCGCTTCGAAGAAGGGAGGGCATATTGCTTTGTTGCTGTCTGTCGGTCGGTCTGTCAGTCAATCATCAGCATCTGTTCATTTTCTTCGCAGAGGTTGCACAAATTGAAATGAAATTTAGTATACAGATTTTTCATGAGAATATATTGGTCAAGTTTTGTTTTGGGTACGATCGGATCATTGTGGATAGAGTTATGTCCCTTCGACTTAGAAAAATTCCAATAATTTGCAGTTTCCGTTCATTTTCTTTGAAGAGCTTGCATATATTGAAATGAAATTTGGTATACAGATTTATCATAAGAATATCTAGGCCAAGTTTGTTTTGAGTACGATCGGGTCATTGTGAACAGAGTTATGTCCCTTTGACTTAGAAAAATACCAATTATTTGGGGAAACGGGGCAAAAGTATTTTACAAACATCTCTTATTTAAACATTGTTTTCATGAATACTGTATGCAGCTATTAGAGATTATTTTTATCAGTAAAATGTGAATCAGCGAAATCTGCCGAAACCAAACTACTTCTACCGAAAAAAACGAAATTTGTCTCGAAAAAACGAAATCAAACGAAAGGACCAAGCGAAATCAAAACGAAACCTGCCGAAACGAAACAAACAAAACTTTCAGAATGTTCATATGGTCTATTTATACTTCATATAAATTTATATACTAGTAGTTCAAGCACCACAGGCAATTGTTTCGCTTCAATCTCATACATAGGCGTCAGAAGGAAATTGAAAGGTGGGGAAGCTTAACCAACAAAATGGTTATCGGGGGGACTAACCCCCCGCTTTCGACGCCTATGTCATATTTTGTTAATATCTTACTGAAAAATTTACCTACTAAAAAAATGACATCGTTCGCTTCGAGAGTATTTTTTCTTGTCAGTTAAATCGTTTTAGACGTCTCTGGTCGAGCCTCTTTATTGCAAACCACTCATTTCTTCTTCGAAAAATTACCTCGATAAAAATAAGGCCCGTATGTACGTAGAAAGGATACACAAGGTTTCGGTTGGAGTTACATGTGTAACTTTACCATAAAACCAGACACCTAGGAATGCCATTACTAAATAACTTTACAAGTCTCTGGTTTAGTCCTATGTTTTAAGACATTCACAATACAAAAGTACAGTGACTTTATGTGTTCTTCGACCCGTACATAAAAGAGTCAAAACCAACGTGTAACACATCAATTTTGATAGATATGTTGTATCTAGATAAATAGGACTGAATATCAACAATTGGTAATAAGTTAAGATATAAAAATTAGAAAATACTTGCACATATTGAAATTATACTTGCATAGTACGCTCATGCATATTTGCAGCTGGTAAACATGTAAATACATCATTAGACTGAGAAGGGAGCATAATGTATCGATAATTATTTGAAGTAATAAAAAAAGTCAAGTTGTAGTTACACATATATCATTATATACATGTACCTTGATTTGAAAATTAACAACACATTTTGATAGTTTTGTTTTCTCAGTTTCGACGTCATAAAGTTTTGATTTCGTTTCCTTTCGGTAGCGTTTCGTTCAGTGGATTACATACCTGCCGTTTTCGGGTTTGAAAAATAATGCAATTCACACGTTAAAAGTCACAATAAGGCAAATTTAAAGTATGAATAAGTCACAAATGTAAATATAGGTAATAAGGTATCATTTTTTTTGATTTCGGATGTAAAACTTTACAGGATCAAATCTTCCATAAAGAGGCTTTATGTTTGACACGTTTTTACATCCCAATAAAACTCAAAAAATGATACCTTATTACTTCCATCTTCCATCTTCCACCCTTCGGGCTTTATGGGATTTGATCACGTGACCAACCCGTTTTACATCCCAATAAAACTCAAAAAATGATACCTTATTACTTCCATCTTCCATCTTCCACCCTTCGGGCTTTATGGGATTTGATCACGTGACCAACCCGTTTCACATCCCAATAAAACTAAAAAAATGATA